GATTAAAAGTCTGGACACAGCCAAGTTAGCTACAGTTGATCAGGTGGGTGTTTCATATACTCCCAGTCATGATATGGCTGAAATATTGCCAATGTGACGTTAAATTTTGACTCACTCGCTCACTTATATACTCAGGTAGGCAAAGCTGATGAAAGTTGGGTAAATTTCATGACACGCTATTAATGCTTTAACACTTGTCCAGATCAGTATGTGTCTAATTTAGTGTGGTAATATGGTTTGAAACCTAATATTAATCTATATATTGTGCAGTCCGACTACGAGTTGATTTCCATTACTTAGACACTGTCAGAACCATTAGTCAATGTATGATGGTGACATTGCATCATTTCAGCATAAGATGTATAGTTATGTGAACTTTGGCATTGTAATTCTGTCATGTGAACTCCATACAGCACACTTCAAGGTTAAAGGGGGACGAGGCTCTCACAAATACTCATTACTTGCTAGTTTTGGGGGCATGGGTGGCTCAGTTGTCTAATATAAGGCGCCGGCAATTCGCTGTGCAGAGTTGCGTCCTTTGGACACGCCAGAAACCTTTGATCGTGAATTTGAATCCTAGTTTGCCCTGATAATGTTTCTAGGTTTGTCAGCACCATACCCGTGCTTGTAGGTTTCACCAAATTTGTAAACGTCTAAGACCTGCATCACTTCGGATTTTTCTCCTACATCAAGCTGACATGCCATTAAATAACTGGAATACTGTTCAAAGCGGTGTAAAACCTAACTCACTCTCTTACTCTTGCAAGACTCCTGATTGTGATTCTTGGTTTGTCATCCTCGTACTGGAGCTCTTGTGTTTCACCCAAGTGGTAAGTGTCTAAGACCTGCATATGACACGATCCTTCCATAAAGTGGTATGCTTGTCGTAAGAGGCGACTAACAGGATTGGATGGTCAGGCTCGCTGACTTGGTTGATGCATGTCATCGGTCCCAATTGCGTGGATCAACGCTCATGATGTCAATCACTGGCTTGTCTGGTCCAGACTCGATTATTTACAGACTGCCATTATATAGCTGGCATATTGTTGAGTGGGGCGTTTAACAACAAACAAATCTACCGTGTCTCCTGTTGTATCTAATTCTGTCTACTGTTGAATGTAGTTTTCTAGTGATGTGCGGCGTTAAACAACAAACAAACAAAAAACAAAGTGGTGTTTTCCCTCACTCACTTGATGTTTTATTTCAATCAAGCTGTTACTACAAGACAAATTACAGAGACAAGTTTTCCAACTGCGCCACACACTAACGCGACTCATGGCACGAAGCAAGCAGCCACAGGCCTTGTCTGTCTTTAATATTCATCACTTTCCATGTACATAGATGATAGATAGTTACTGTGGTGACCATTCCCGAGAGCAATATACAATCACAACAATCATTCCAGATGTAATGTTTTGATACATGACCGTGTCGTGTAGTGTGAGAAGTTCATTATACACATTCCTTATATATCTGCTTGGTCCTAGTGTTTGCTCCACTGCTTATCCTCTGTGATATTAGTGTCAGATGTTTCAGGATAAAGTAACCATATGTCTCTGGTTGAATATGATTCCTGTTTAGTATAAGGAACGTATGCTGTATTCATTTCATTCTTTTGTGAAAGTCTTGCAAGGCAAAATGGAAAGCTTGGAATAATGTCTTATACCAAATTATTCCACACAATATTGCACGAAAGGGTGATATTAAACAAGGAACTGTCTACTCATTGTTTGAAATTAAGGATGTTTCTGGGTTGTTGAGCGTTGCTCCTACAGTAATTGAACCTAGGGACCTATTAAATCTTTACCTCTGGGTCATGACAAGGACTTCTTGTCTCTCATGCTTAATTTCATACACTACTACTGATACACTGTATTTGGTGCAAGGAAATCTGTTTCAAAGCATTATCTCTGAAATCATCAAAATCAGTCATTTAGAAAATAGATGGAGATTGCATCATTACTAAAACATTGTTTCTATAAACATGTCTGTCCCTCTTTTAAAAGACTAGAACAGACACAGTGTGTGCTGAACTTGGTGGGCCTCTGGTAGGATTTGTACAAGTAAGAGCTTCCAATGAAGTAGAATGTTTTATACTACAAATGATACTGTTATTAATTAATCTTGAATTAAATCAGGTGCTCAGTTTGCAAGCATCCAATCTCTACTCAGTGAATTTGCTGAACATGTGGTATTTAACATATGGAAATAGCATACAGTTCAATGGGCGTGTCCTGAACTCTTCTGTACTGATAGTTGAATGTAATGTTGGTTTGAGGGTTTTAAGCATCATTAATTATGAGTATGAGCTTTGGGGATATAGATATTAGGACTAGTGGCAGGTATCACAAACTGATTGCCTGGTGCATCCAGAAAAGAGAGAGGGTTGTAGGCACACTTTAACAGAGACATTAGTACATGGCGAAATGTCACCTTTTTTAGTTTTATGCGAAGTTTTTGCACTCATTCAACTCTCACACAAGGTTCAAGAAATCTTTAATCTAAATATTGACCTCCCTACAGTCATTGTCACATATATCGTCTATCAATAATCAGCTAATACACGTTTCAGCTTGTGGTGAGAAGGAACAATTACTTTGTTTGGATGATAGATAAAATGCTAATAATATAAACCATGCTGTGAGACATGCCAATAATGATTACTGTTGTTATTTATTAAATTACTCATTTTATCTCAGATATTTGTAATTGCCTCAATTTGGGGTTGGCATGGTTACTAGTTTTTAACCAATTTATGTTTTATCACAGAGGGCTTGGCTGTGAGTTAGTGATAACATGTTGAGGTTGTGCATTTTCTTGTCAGTATTATTGCTGTTACCAAATCAAACTGAATAGTTATAGAGCTCAAGGTCACAATTAGCTGCTTGTCCGTCATACTGAGTGTTTTCATTTTTTCCATTATTGAAGGCTACAACATAATAAATGGTTCTCAGGCATTGACTCCTTAGATTTTGGCACCAGGTTAATCCTTTATATTATCAAGTGTGAAATAGTTTGCTCCTGGATAAGACTTTCTTTTCCAGGTCCGGACCAATTTACTGTCTGGCTTTACAATGGGTCATGAACATTGTGGCCATGGACCCTAAATATAGATATTTAACGGACTCTCCATTCAAAAGAGCGAGTAAGGGGAGTAACCATTGCAAACTACCGTGCGGTATAGACTGGTGGTCCCCTGCCTCTGTTGCCCACGCTACACGAGCATGAGGGCAGGTGACCTGTCCAGCGCACAGCAGAGATCATGAGTGGTGGGCACAGCAGCCTCGAGTCCATCTTAGTGTCCAAGGTGTTGCAAGGGGTTATGTTGCATTGTTGTTCCAGGATAGTTTTCACCTAAATAATGAATCAAACAGCATTTGTATTTATTAATCTTTTTGTAACTCCTGAAAAATTGATGGAGGGCATATCTATAAAACCAGAAAATAATTTGGTATAGCTCAGCTTTCATGAACAGTGTTGATACTAGTGAGTACTGGCAGAGAACCATGCATCATGTTTTGGCCAATAATGGTCAATATGTAATCATTTCAAATTTATCTTTTGACTCATACCTGCACTCTCAATATAGGTCTATTGTAATTGTTGTTTAACAACGAAGTGTGTATTCTTGTGATGTTACCATGGTTACATTGTAGTACAGTGCTCGTTGCCATGGGGTAGTACATTTCTCATTACTGCTGTGTAGTAAAGTGCTCATTCACATACTTTTGTACCCTGTTAATGTCATAGATATTGCTGTGATCTATCTGCGTGTCTTTATACAACGAAACCAGCTTCATGTAAAGAACCAAGATTTTTGTTCAAATTGTTGTGAAAAGCTTCCTGCCAAGTGTTAGTCAATTTGTTAGAATCACACACAATTCATCAAGGACCACTTTCCAAAGTTCCTTAAACCTCACAGAAATCATGTATCTCAAATCTTTGTTAACTATTTGTACATATTTGATAGATATTTGCATTGAGTTTTAGAATGGCTCAATATGAAGATCAAGGGTGAATTCATACACCGAAACTTTCATGCACTGCGATACATGATACATACAGACTTGTATCGTGGTACATGACAATAGAAAATGATGTGTTGTTTACTTATGAAAAAGTAATCCTGTTTAAATAGGTATAAATGATAGCTTGAGAGGCCACCCACATCCTACAGATCAGCTGTTTGAGATAATTTTGCTTCCCCGTTACTTTTTGTGATGAACAGTGAACACAGAAGGAACAGTCTTTCGCCATTTTTCACTCATCTGCAATACAGGAGTACGCCTATTCATGTCCTTCGTGTTGATATTCTGGCTTATTCAGATGTGTATCATATTGATTGTATTCAAATAAAAGTGAAAACAATTTGAATTACTTGAGTGTAGAAATTATTTTTTTTACAAAAGTGTTTGTGATAATTTTAGTGATGTTTACTTAATACCCAAAGCATGTCTATATATCCAGCATAGTGCCATGTGCTAGAAAGGTGTGTCAGAGAAAAAGAGCAATAAATAGTTAGGATTTTCTCAATACAGATATGAAGCAGCCTGTTATTCATGATATATGTAGTATGTAATACAAGATTGATGTATGTCGCTTACAGTTCCAAATTCAATTTAGCGCAGTTAAATCTACAGGTATCCTAGCTATAAATTTGAAAACACAGTATGTTTATCTCCTAATTCACTCACTCACTCACTGTTAGTACATGTTACCTAAAACAATATCCATTTGTTCCGGTACTGTTCAAAAACCCACCATGACCTAGTGGGGTTTTGCAGATACATGGTGCATTTCATTAAGGCACTGCAGGTTGTAGAGAAGTAGGATGAATAGTACTCATTTTATAAGTGTCAAGTTATGATCAGGAACCTTTTTGGCGCATGGGATATGCATAATTTAGGAAATGAGGACAATGTTTACAAATCATTTTCAAAGTTATCAGTGTTATGTTATGTGTTCCTATGAATCAGAATTAGACTTTTTTCATTTCAACACTTGTGCATATCACCATGTCCAATATTTGCAAGTGAATGTAAAAAGACTTTTCAACGACTTCACCATTTTCCATTTCCAGGGGGCCAGAGAGGGCCCTTATTGCACCTCGTCCTTTGACTTGGAGCATAATACCATGATCATATTGTGGGTTTCTAGTCAAACTTAGCAGTCACAGTGTTGTTTCAGAAAAAAGCACAACTTTGTCTAGTGACCACCATGTATTTAATCTATTGTTGATGATCTCATAGAACACTAACGTGGACATTTTGCCAGATTTCTTGTGTGCACAAGCAACTTATTTTTCTTCTTGAAAACTTCTTCCACTACACACTGGAATTTGTTTTTGTTACTGTGTGGAGATTTAGATGTATATACATTTTACAAGTTTATTCCATTGTTTTTATACATATTGAAGTTGCACTCATATTTGTGATGTCTTCAAATTTGGTTTGTCTACACTTTTTTGTATATGTAAGATTGTTTTCAGTCGTGTTGATTTTTTGTTTTGGCTTTTTTAGTTGAATGTACTTACATTTTACATTGTTAATAAAGTTTTGAAATGATTCACGTTCTAGACACATGATCAAAATTTATTTATCAAGTTAATAAAAGTATGTCACAATAGTCTTTGTTGCTTTTGTTCCTTATTTAGATTTCAGGGAAGGTGTCTTGATATGCTACATCTGTAGTACACACTTGCTATAACTTTCAGTGTCCACTAGTATTTTTTAGATGATCCTTCTTATGTGTCTGAGGTAAACAATTAACAATCCTCTTCAGCTGTATCACAGGATATTAACGACTAGGCTATTTCAAACTGAAGATACAATTAAATAATTTGCTGTGACAAACTCGGAATGTTGATACCAGCACACACAAGAAAGAAGTGAGATTTTCCGACCTCACACATGCGCATAAGTTGGGAGCAAGACGCTATTAGTTGCACAACTAATTATGGATAGTTGATAGTTTAGAGAACTACTGTTGAAAGTCTGAAGAAATTATTGTGTGATAACGGTCAAAATACTGGATTCATGACAGATGTAACAGAGGTTTTGAATTCGTATTATCTTTGTATGACATCTGTGGCACACACAAGCTAAAACAAACTATCAGTGTTCATCTGATACTTGTGAGATGATCCTTCTAACGTCAGCGTGTGTACTCCAAATGTCGTGGCACTAATTGAGCTGACCTTGTGGAAATGGACTGCTTCAACAATCCCGTTACCATAAAATGACATACAAAGTCTTTTAGTGAAATAATTTACTTCATGTAAGTTATTGAAACAACATAGATCAATATGTGAAGATAAAAAAAACAGCAACTAAAAAATATATTAAGTGAGCAGAACATAGATCATAAATTTTAGTACATATTTTATGCAACCAAAATAAATATACACAAAACATATCGTCTTTTTATCAATAGAATACAAAAGCAATATGAAATAGCTGCTTCATTTTGTAGCTTTTATTGCAGGTTAGGTCCTGAACTTACGAGATTAAGAAATTAAATACAACATATTGGCAAGCATGATAATTTAAGCAGTATGCAAATTCTCTATTTATGAAGAAACTTGCAAGATACATTACTGGTACCGTATTATTGAAGTCTTATGGGGGAAGGGCCAAATACTTTATCAAGATTCAAGGGTCGCACCACGAGTTAAATCACATGAAGCAAGAATGTCTAACTGCCTTTACCATTGAAAATGTACATACAACTAAACATACAGGGTTTACATAAACATAGTAATTTGTTTCACCAAGAATAGGCATCTTGTTGCTGTTTTATGCCATGTCAATATTTGTATAAAATATTATGTACACCTTTATCAAATATTTACCCTTTAATGTACAAACAGGTAAAGGTAGAATACCATCTGTTAAATGTTGTGTAAAAAAACAATTGATATGAAGAAATACATATATTTACATGAGCATTTACAGCAATATTTATGTCTGCTCTATGGTATTGTAAAGAAGTAGTTTTCTACTGTAAGCATACACAATTTAAACTGTACAGTAAACATTCATGGCTAAGGTAATACTGGAATGCTGTTAAATAAATGTACAGTAACATAATTTTCAAAGATGAATTGCAAAATTTAGAAAAGGTTGGTTGTAAATTATTCTTAAAGGAAATATGTTTCCAACATATTATTTTCGTACCATTGATAAACCTTATTTTGACCAAGTATTTTTCCTTCTAAATCCTCGTTCCCTTCTTCATAATTAACATAATCACAGCTGACGTCAGTATTGTAATCATCTGTGGCAAGATGAGACCGAGAACGTACTCACTGTCAGACATTGTACTGTGTCATTAATGAGTTTTATGGGGGTCTCAGTTTAACCAAAATCAGTGTTTAGAGTATCAGCAACATGAGTAGAGGGGAAGCTTAGACGAGGAATTTCTCGAGGATGCTGTTGATAAACCAGGTGTCGGTGAAATGAAGATGGTCTGAATCCGATGACAGGAAGGTGATGCGTCCACTCTCGTACAGCGTCTTCAGTCCAAGGTAGTCCTATGAGACAAAGATGATTGTAAAGTTTTGACATTGTTCTAGAATTAGACAGTGAGAATTTGTTGTTACAGTCACAGATATTATATATATTTTATTTCAAGTCGTCTGTAGTGTGAGACAGAGTGCTGATGTTGGTTAATAGTGATGATCTGATTATACAGATTCTGAAAGGGTCAAAATATAACATCCTCTTCAATGACAGCCCTAATCGCTTTCTTAGTTAACAAAAAATATTTTACGATCAGTCATAATATTTGTTTAATGTCACACTCAATATTATTGCAATATGATGATAGCAAAAATAAGAAAACAATCAAGTCTGGACCAGACAATGCAGTAATTGACAGTAAGCACTATTGTGAAACGATGACATGCAATCAACCAAGTCACTGAGCGTGCTCACCCAATCCTATTAGTTGCCTCTAATTCTTACTCTGAAACCCCAAGGGTGTAGACTTAATGACTCAAAATGGTGTATAACTGATAGATAATATTCTTGTTAGAAACACTAAAAGGTAATTGGTCAATGGTAATTTGTTTTCCAATCAAACATTTCAATTCCTGTCTGTATGGGTTCAAGGCTTTAGTAAAATTCTTGAAAATCAGGTGGAGCATACCACATCGCCAGCATGGGATGCTATTTTTTTTGCTTTGAACCTGGATTAGAAAATTTACAGACCCAGAGGTAAATCTCTGTCAAAATGAGTCATCCTTTATTTCTATGTCGTATCTAACAGTAGTATCTAAGGGCCCCCTTATTTAATCAATAGCATGTTAAAGTTCATTTTTATCATGAAACTTTGTTAACCTGACTGACTAGCAATATATTTTTGCATGGTGGACTTCAAAACAAAAACCAGGCAGATGTGTAGGACTAACTGTATCAGTCACAGAGTGAGTGAGGTAGTGTATAATGCTGCAGTCAGCAATATTTCACCTATATCACGGCACCTGGTAACTTCCATACTTTAACACTGGATTACGAGAGTTGTGGCTCTGTGGAACAGGACCCAGGCCTGATAAACCAGTGGTTGAAAGCATGGCCAATGCCCCAGATCGTTAGGTCACTAATATTCCAGCTATGTGATGGCAGACGGTAAATAATCAAGTCTGGACCTGACAATCCAGTGATTGACATCATGAGCATCAATCGATGGAAATGGAATATTATGACATGCATCAACCAAGTCAGCCAGCATGGGTTGCTGAAGACCAATTTTAATCTGGATCTTCATGGGGAATCCAACAGGTTCTAAATTGTAGGAAAACCAGTATGTGTAATCTGCTATACTCACATTTTTGTAGAGGTCGCTCTGTGTCATGTTGTACAGCTGGGTAGTCTGCCCGCGGGCGTAGAACCCAAACCACTGAATGACAAAAGTGACCAGGTTTTTAATGAAAGCATGTTAACATGACAGTTGCACCAGTTGTTTGTTCAGTCTGCAACATCGAGAACATACTAAGGATAAATCATGACCAGACGAATGAATCCACACATCTGCATAATTAGTCTGTCATACAGACCCTGAAACAAATATATCCACTACAGCCCCATCTTCTCGAGGCAAGAGTGTCCACTAGCCCATATCAAAGCCTAGTTTCAAGGCCACTTTTTCTTGGCCTCTTGTAATGAAAACGCGATATCCAATCAGATCACTGTTTATATCTTGTTTAGCTCATAAAGATGGCAACTACCATAGGCAATGACGTAGTCGATCACAATTTCATCCCCGACACAAAAACATAGGCAATCGTTTGTATGTGTGTGTGTGTGTGTGTGTGTGTGTGTGTGTGTTTAAAAGATGAAAAAGACATATTCGTGTCAACAAAGACAGGCAGCGGTAAAACAATTTAATCAAAGGTGTACCAATCATGGATGTTGATTTTGTGAAACGTTCTGATTGGACTATCGATATATGCAATAGTCCAATCATATTTAGCACAGGAGAGTGGGCTTGATGTGGCAAGGGTGGAAACAAGACTTTGATATAAAGGCAAGTGGACGCTCTTGTTTCGAGAAGATGATACAGCCACTACAAGTCTTATAGTAGGCATCAGTTTGGAGTTGACCACTACATTATTCCTATCAATAAAATCTATCCTTAAAATGATTAATATTATCAGGTAAAGAATGTTAGCCGTCAATTATTATTTATAGTAGTGTTAATGATGATGATGTTTTTATTGTTATTGTTGTTGTTGCTGACCTCGCTCTCCTTGGGCTGCACCATGGTGTCCTGCAGGAACATCACCAGCACCATGTTCTTCAGCTTCAGCAGGTTCTCCTTGTACGTCATGTTCTTGGTCTGCAATAACGGAGAGACTAAGCAGAGGCAACTCAGGTCTAGATAACATTGATTTTTGTTTCACATTTTGTACATTATATCTATTTTATGGAGTATCTGAAGTTTTAAAAGAAACATGTTTTTATCAGCGCGCGCACGCACACACACACACACACACACACACACACACACACACACACACACACACACGATCAACAAAACGATCAGATGTCCAGTGCCAATGCTGCTTACTGGTCGCTCCTGGTTGATGTCGGCGAGGAAGACGCTCTTGGCTCGGTACTCCTCCTCATTGAGTGGGTCGTGCCAGTACTCTGCTTGTACCAGACTAAGGGGAGACAATTATGCCATGTGAACTGCTGGGATAGTTCGAAACAGTACTGCCAAATTATTGCAATAGTTGTGCCAAGATTTTAACAGTATTTGAGTACTCCTAGATTATCCTGTGTTTATATCTCCATTCTATTTTGATAAATACCCTGGAGTCATACACCACCACAACTTCACTTGGGAGTCCAGTTAGAATAACACAATGATACAAAGAATGTCAAAGTCGCGTGTACTTGGTGTGTCTTGTTTTGCTGAAACTTTTGAGCAGTGCCAGTATACCTAGAACATACTCAAGGTGATTCTGAGATTCGAACCCATCATCACACGTTTCTGACACGCCAAAGGGATGCAACTCCTGAGACAACATTATAAGAATACTAGAGACTATCTTATTTTATTTCTGTTTCATGACTTGCTACAGGCATAATGTTGACCCGTTGTACTTACTTGTCCTGCACAAATCTGAAACAGTCAATAATACCAATAAATAAACATGACTGATAATAATGTTGCCATAATATTCCCTTAACAGAATTATCACCTTAACATGGAATACCTTTTTTTATATATTAAAATGTGCATAAAACATAATCAAGTTTTTTTAATAATTACACGTAATGATGCTAATACTTGACTTTCCTTTGTTGGTTATGAACCTTTAAACAGGGTTGGAAAGTATTTCTTTTCAAATGTGCAGCTGATTGTATTTTAATACAGCAAATTACGTACATAACAAACACACTTAGAATGAACTGATGGATTTATTTTTTCTTTGGTCCCATCCATAAGCTGATCTGACATGCACATGCAGCTTTATATACTCGTATCCTCATGCATATACCATGCAGACTTATATCTGTTACATATATTATACTGGTTCAGAAACACAAGTCCGGATACTCACGAAACATAGGCTCCTAAGTTGAGCATCTTCCGGACCAGGTTACAGATGGTGGCGTTGTTCCCTGGGCACTTGGGGAAGCCATACACACCTGTGAGAAAATAGATTCATATCTGCAACTTTTATCCATTCAATTTTTCTAGAAAATTGCAAAAATTAAATACAGTACCGTATATTGCTGTGTATAAGGAGACTTTTTCGTACCTAGGGGGCTGTTTCGTAGTTAGGGGGCTTTCGAGGGGGGTCGTCTTATACACAGGGTTGAAGAGTTTTGATGTTTTTTTCCCCAACACAAAGACATTACTGTGATTAAATTAAACCTCATTTATATAAAATGACACCAATATCTTGTTTTGTCGTTGGTAATGATTGTTTGGGGTATTGACAACTTTGCTGTCGTTACCTTGGTGTTGTCCTCCAACCGAGACGAGGTTGAGCATGGGAGGAGTCGGACATTTCTGTGCGATGGCCCTCCTAAATGGACAAGGAAAGACATGTTTACCATTGTAAACGTCAGTGGACACTACAGACAACTAGCTAGAGACTTTTTGTTCTGTGTTGTTAAACGCCGCACTCAGCAATATTCCAGCTATATGATGGTGGTCTGTATAAAATCGAGTATACTGTATACTATCCAGTGACTGACATCATTAGCATTTGGAATATGATGGTGAGTGAGTGAGTGAGTGAGTGAGTGAGTGAGTGAGTGAGTGAGTGACCGTCTCTAAAGATGCTGGAAAATAATTAGTTTGGGCTGGGCAAACCAGTTGATTGCCTAAGAAACGATCCATGTTGATGCTGTACAGGGAGTTGAGTGAGACTCAATCAGCAAGGTTACGGACATCCGATCCTCAATTTTACAACGGATATGAGTTAGTGGGTTACCATTCTTTCCTGAATTCCCCACAAGTGCACAGAACTATAAAAACATTTCAAGATGACAGGCTATCTCTGAGAAGAATAAAGAAGTTATCCTCTATATGTCCAGGGCTTGCATTTCAGTAACCTTCACAACACCCCTGGATCCATTCTCAAATTACCTGCCCTTGATTTTCTTCGTTCCTGACCAATCAAACGTTGAGATTAGGAAAAAGGAAACTGGTAAGGGAGGTAACATGAAGACCATCAAACAGAATTCAGAGGGCTTTCTTTTGCATGTCAGTCAGTTTTTCAATGTTGAATTTCTTGAAAAAAATCGTTATCAATGGGACTGGCCGGCATGTTGTTGATATCGCCCTCCCAACATTGAGTCGCATTCTGATTGATCCGTTGGACTGAGTCGCATAGCAAATCAAAATGGCTCATGAAAATCAAGGGCGGGTAATTGAAATCGCGAGAACCACAGGAATGGATCTAGGGGTTTGTGTAGGTTTACTGGAATGCGAGCCTTGGATATATATAGATACAAAGAGAGACAGAGACAGGTACACAGATGACAGTGTGACAGAAAGAGACAAACGCTGAGACACAGACTCTGAGAGTTCCACTCACAAGAACTGTCCTCCCTGGGAGAATCCAATAGCATTGTAGCCATTAGCCAGCTTCTTGTCCGCAGCCAACTGCTGGCAGACCATGGCAATCTGCTTGTTGACATTCATTAAGAACCCATTCTCCGTGTCCTGTAACCATAGTAACAAGCAAATATCTTTACAATTCCTTCAATAACAGTAACATATGGTAACTGATTCATAATATTTATAATTTTTCCATGTTTATTGATAAATAATATGAGAACAACATTTTTCACACAACAAATCTAAAGAAACATGTAACTAATTACTGAATTATTTTTTTCATGAGTAACCAAGCACTTAACATGCTTATGAAAAAAATTGATTAAGATATTTGTTTATTTCTGTCAATCATTATTATTTTATCATTTTTTTTTAAATTCTACTTTTTTATGTTTACAATCTCCATGTGTAAAAGCACTGAAGTCACTCAATAAAAACCAAACCACTGGACCAACTGGCCAATGTGATCTGCTATGACAATGGAAAGTGTACATTTAAAATCAAAGCATGGTTCATACAAAACTGGAACCACCACATTTTACCTCTGAGCAATGAACACACTTTTCAAGGCAATGATCATACATTTCAAGTCAAATTCAAATTCAAGGTTTTGCCTAGGCTGTTCGAACCTTGTGAAGATAGGATTGCCTTTGTGCTAAAATTGCTTTGTGCAAGTGGGCCTTAGACAATTATCTTGCTGCTTCATAAATGTGAACAACCCTTGAAGATCCAGGGTAGAATAGGTCTCCAGCAACCCATGCTTTCAGTAAAAGGCTACTATACTTGTCATAAGTGGCATTAACAGGATTGAGTGGTCAGGCTCATTGTCTTGGTTGATGCATGGTTTGGTTTGGTTTGTTGTTTAACGCTGCACTCAGCAATATTCCAGCTATATGACGGTGGTCTGTAAATAATCAAGTCTGGACCAGACAATCCAGGGATTGATTTCATGAGTGGTTGATGCATTTCATCATATCCCAATTGTTTGGATCAATGTTCATGATGTAAATCACTGTAATATCTGGTCCAAACTTAATTATTTACAGACTGTTGTCATATAGCTTGAATATTGCTGAGTGCTGCATTAAACAAAAAACAAACAAACAATTAGAGTGTGGGCAATATTCCAGCTATATCACAGCTGTCTGTAAATAGTCTAGGCCAACAGGTGACACCAACAGGAAATGATGACACACAATAAGCCATGTCACACAGCTTGACCCCTGCTTCAAAACTAGTCACCTGTTATAAACAGCAAAAGTGTGCAGGGGGCAATTCTAAACCCAGATCCCACTTCTACAAACACATCTGATCGAGTCCTCACCTCTGCAACATTGCTGCCTATTTCCAGGGACTTGACATACACGCCATTGATGTTGTTCTCAATCAGTGACTTTATGCTGCCCATACTCAGTGGGTTACAGCAACTGTCCCCTGGAGAGAAAAAACTAGCCAGTACTTTTCACCATAGTATATTTACACTTACATTGATAAGACTTTGAGGACTACAGGTAACATTTGCATGTGAACAAATAAAATACAACTTACTTACTCGCTCAAACTGTATTGATCAAGATTATCAAAATTATGACATAATCAGAGACCATATATATCTGACATAATGTATTGTGTGAGCCCAATACAGTCAAAATGCCAAAGCAACCATGGTAACAGTAGATTTTGATTTACCACTTTGGCAACACCCTGGGGCACAGCTATGGTGCTAATAAACATAGAAACGTAATCAGGGATTCGAACCCATGATCATAAGGGACGCAACTCTGCATAGCGCATCGCCACGTCCAACACGACTGGGCCACAGCAGACACCAGTCCGATTTTTGTGAATGAGTCAGCCAGTATTTGCTTGTGAACAAGACTCGATGTCAACGATTGACTAGTAGTCCGGTAATTAAAGGTTTATTTTTCATGAAGGTTCAACAAAATTGACGGAAAAGGTTTTTTAATGCATTTCACTGCCTTGATAGGTCTACTTTAAGAAAAAAAACAGTTTACCAAAATTTGACTTGGGGAAACACCCAAAATAGGTCAAATCCAAGATGGCCACCATCAATACAAACGAAAATTGAAAAGTAAAAAAAAAAGAATCAATCAAAATCTAAACATGGATGATGACTCTATTTATAATCAACTTCATAGGATCAAGACAGGGGTATATACATTTAACAATTTTGAAGTGAAATCTTACACAGAAATAAATTACGGCTGCCCGAAAAGTGAAAAAAATTCAATTGTTCCATATCGGACTACAAAATACTTAACACAGGCTTATAAAGAGGGAATAACCCTGCAATACTACAGTTTACAAGTCAAACTTACTATCAATTTAAATGTCTAAAGTTCAAGACAGTCTTTATATTCACACTCATATACTGGATATGAAGAGACGATTATTCAGTAATGTCAGAAAAGTCATGACTTGGTCCATTTGAACATGTCATCCCTTTGCATTGTCCACATGCTGAGGTACATTGTAGACAAAAACATTCTGCATGAGCATGTGTTTTTATCACACTTTCAAGTGCAATTGTATCTGATTATTTTCAACAGAAATTTAGGAGTGACAGCTTGGTGCCTTGTGATTGGTTTCAATATAGTGCCCTTGTTGCTCTTTTGAAGCGTCCAGCCCCATTCTGTCGCATCCATATTGTTACCTAGCCAGGTCTGCACTTGCAGTAAAGACTCGTTGGCTGGGCAATCTGGCAGCATCTGATGTCGGTGGAAGGTGTCGAAGGGGTAGGTAATTTGAGCTTGATACATACCTTCTCAGTGAATTTCGTCACAGTGTCACACGTTCAAAATTCAAATCCAAGCCAGGCAAACAGCTGTAGAGGATTGCAAGTGCCTGATTACCAGCCTGCTCGATTTCTGCATGGCTTCCACCTGTCACCATGAAAACCTTTGAATATTCCTGAGACCATCCCTATGCCATATGGCCTCGATGTTGTGTCACTCCCTGACAATGCATGTACAAAGAGCAAAGAATGGCTGAGATTAGGATCAAGGATCATCTATAGGATGAAGCTGTCAATGTTCTTTGTACTTGTCTGAAGATAGATGGCCTCATGGTATCGGGTCTGAAGTGATATTGCAACAGGATGAGAAGTTCCCTACCACTACCACAGTCTGTGTTTGAGCCAATGTACAGGCAGACATTGCAATGTCATAGTCAGCATCTCAGGATGGGTGTTTAATCTGAAAACCCACCTTGTTCGATTTTTGACCCGAACAGAGTGATGAATTTCTGTTTGTTTCTTTCATTTGCCAAAATGGCTTTTTCTTCATTTTCAGAATCGTGTCTGGTGTGAAATCCACATCCACTCCAACCTCACTTCCAGTTCTTCTCTGATGGGTCTCATCCTTGGTCGAAAAACACCACAATAACCATCAAACACGATAAGAGCATTACAGAAGTGGTTCCTCAAGAAATGAGACCGCACAGCTTGTGCCACTGATTTGCTGGACAACATCTGTTCTACCCGCTGAATATACTTGAGTGATGATCTCCTTTAACCCAGGTCCAGCCATCAGATTCCCAACTTTACCCACAAAACTCATCTCAGTATGGAATCCCCCCAAGAGCAGGGCTATTTGATGCAAGGGGCTCTCAGCTGGCCGTGATTCGATGATCATGTATGCAATTCACCAAAGTTGCTGGTCGATTGTAATAACCGGTGTGATTCCATGTCATCTGGCATGTTTGGAAATATACTCCAGCATTGATCTGACACAAGATTCGTCACTTGGTGTCATGTTGATAATCGACAAGAATATCTCAGAGCTCTTCCTGGGGTATAGAATGTCAGAATGGAGCAAATGCATGCAACCGGAACACAGTGGTCGACACACACAGAAGTGGAGCACTCCACAAAATATCTACTTTGCTATTCTTTTCATCAAAACAGAAGTCACCAATTGGTGGATAGATAATGTTCGCCAGATTTCTTTGTGAGAATAGTTTGACACTGTTGATTTTTTAACATCATCCAAGTCCACCTTAACTCTTGGTACCCTTTGTTTCACCATCTCGCCCATGGCATGGATTGAGACAGTGCCATCAAACCTTTTGCTGGCATGATCTATATAACCAGCCTGGTATTGCACGAATGTATCTGCAATGTCACTGATTAGGTGAAACCGAGTTGGCTTATCATATCCACTAAATTACGATGACCATATTTGTGTTATAGTGTGATACTTTATCAAACTTGTTGAGGAGGCAGAAATGATGGGGATATGACGAATGCATTATTGCCTGATCCAATGACGCAGTATGGAGTTTACTGTTTCAGCTCTTGATGATAGCTTGAAGGAGGATGCGTAATGCATGTGGGAGGTAATCATTGTCGAGATACACATCAACATGTTTCGACATGCTCTCTACCTGCGTATGAATGTATTCTCCCCCAACTTTAATCAAACTGTCCATGTCATATTTGTCCACCTTTGCAACATTTTCATATGCCGTAAGAGATGCAATGTTAGGTTGTTGCCTGATTGTAGTTATGAATACCTTGTTCCCATAGTGAGTCATGAATTCCCTTTTCAGCTGAGATGTAGTGTGTAGTTGATCATCACTCAGTGCACTTATTGACTTCATAATGTGATGCAAATTGTCCAAAGGAATCGTTTCATCATCATTCTCTTCCAAGTAATCAATGGCAATCTCAAATGCTGTCATCTAGGACATACACTTCAGTCGACCAAGTCTCCGTTTCTTTGGTGGAGCCTCCTCATGTTCAATATAAGCTGCAGGTATACCTGTCCCTCTCCGAAAATTCTTATCACAAGCATGGTGCTGGATAGCTTCTTCAGCTGGTAGATCTTATATGGGCACGATACTTGACTGTACCATCTTGGCCCAATCATCTTGCCTGTTGACACAGTATGTTGCAGACATATGTTGAGTAGCTTCCTGGAACTCAAGAGCCATCGCACGGCTGAAGTACACTTCTATATGGATGTTTGTATGCAACATCCTGGTCAATACAAGTACCACATAGAAAACAGTGAGTTTTTAAATTTTAGGCTTAAACATATGATCGAAGAGTTTTCAGCTACTTTGATTCCCTTTGGATTTATATGCATACCTCGACACTGACTGTGTACCAACAGGCTACAGTTGTATATGATGTCAGGTGCACCTAATTCGTGCAGTCTGTTTGCGTTATTAATGCTACAGCAGCATTTTGCTGTCAACTTCACATAATTCTGGGGTTTGTCCAGGTTAACTGGTTCCATACATAGCAAACAAGTAGCCATCTGTGATCTACACAGGACACCTTCAGTTGAGAATAGTCACCTGCGAATAGTAACAGTTGATAGAAATATGGTTGACATGTGTACAGACACAAATGTTGCTTTTCCGATTAAGGCAAATGCTTTTTGTGCTAAATGTCTTGATTATATCTTCAGAATTAACTTTTAATCAAAGTTTCTGAGAAGCTTATACCATTTGAGAAAAATAACCGCTTCCCGGAGTTTGGATTATCTCCCTTGATTTTCCTTGAAACAAATGTTGATGTTAATGGCTCTGTTTCAATTTTTTATTTATATTTGTTCATATTTTCATCAATTATTCCTCTCTAGAGCCAATATCAACTATATATTATACAAGTTTTCATTTTAGCTATAAAAGAAAAATAGCTTATACATACCTTCATGTTCTTGAGGTCTATCTTTAAAACATTGTTTGCTCGGCCACCATTTTGAAGAAGGGGATACTTTGTTTTTTTCAATTATATTTGTTTCTAACTTGATTATTTATGTGAAGACAATAAACTGTATAATTTTATATGTAAAAAGTCAACATTATAATAAATCGGTTCATGTTGATAGTTCTGTTCTGCAAGAATTACTCATATTAACAAATTTATGTACGTTTTCGTCATTTTGAAGCATTATTTAAAATTTCCATGTGAATTTTCCTTTCAAAATTGTTAAATATACATTCCTTTGCATTTATCCTGGCAAGCTAATATAGATAGACTCACCATAAATGTTTTTATTGTTATTGGTTCCACGTTTATGACTATTATTACTTTTGTTGGCGGCCATCTTGGATTTGACCTTTTTTCGGATGGTTCCCCGTGTCCGATTTTGGTAAACTATTTTTTATTTTAATGCATATGTGTCAAGGCACCAAAATCCAGCAATAAACCTTTTCCGTCAATTTTGTTGAACCTGGACCTTTTAATTACTGGACTATAGTTCCAAGAGATCCATGCGAACTGAGTTGTTGGGCGTCTTCCTTGTATCCTGAGTATCCTTCTGCATCAAGTACATTTTTGAATAATTTTGTTAGCGTCATAAACAGAAACGTCTCTCAAGTGACAAAACTGTTCTTACCCATTCCATGCCATATCACAACAGGCGTCTGTGCTGCACAGGAACCAAAAATTACCAAAGCAGCGAGCCAAAGCATTGTGTTTCGATGCACCACCATTTTGGAGTCATATGACCATTCATAGGGACCAATTCTTTATAGTTATTATGTAGTTCTTATACGTGTAAGAGTCAAACTTAAAGGTGACATCCAAACCAGTGTAATAATATTTACAATAATTTCCAACAATAACCATTGAAACTCCCGTTCAATGATCCAGGTGAAACGGAAAGAACAAAACTCCATCTGATACAACAAACGATTTCTCCCTCGAACCCGGAAATCCGCAAGGGAGAGCACTGTAGTGTGTGTGTAGTGCTTTCGCAGGAGATTAGAACAGCAGACACTGCTAATCGATTCGCCTAACGCACAGAGGAATCTTTTTCTCGGGATGTCTTCGTTGACAGCAAACATGTGTTTGAGGTGTGTTGCTCTTGCTTCACGGCGAACAACTTTTCGGAAATTCGCACGGATACAAATGCTAACAGTGCCCAAAGTGACCGTTTCTCTTCCGATGTTGGCTCACAGCGGTTATACTCCAAGGTTCTATGACCACCAGACGGCACGGGATCTAATTTATTCTTTAAATCAAGATCAAAGAAACATTCTTCTCAGTGAGATAACACAGTTCGAAGAAGAAAGAGTCAAAACTCTAGGTAAAGTATATTTATATTTCCTCGTGTTACAATTCAACACTGCAAATGAAGGTGACACTGACAATTGTTTTTTCTGCCAAATACCCTTCAGGTCTTTAGAAAATATATGTATTGAAAAAAATATGTATGATAGTTGTATAAAAAATGAACGAATGGTACCTTTTCAATTGTGGTGATCGTAAACTTTATATGTCTCTTGTATTCTCAAAGAATTGGTTAAAAACTGCTCTTTCAGAATCTGTTTGCTACTCAATCTATCATGATCTATAGCATCCTTTAAAAACAATATTTATTTTTTAAATATTTTTATGAAAATATTATGTATACATGATACATATTAACGTATTATGTATACATAATACACAATACTTATTTACGATTCTTATGTTAGTTGTGTAACTCCATCGTTAGCCCTTGGACCCTTAAATGAAAATAGTGGCAAACACTTTCTGTGGCAGCTCCCATAAAAATGTATCATGTATGTTTGCATTGCAGTTTAAAAGTATCCCATTTTATCAATTGGAATACAAAATTAACAAAATTATTTAGCCAGGTACCCAATGTAGGTCTCAAGAGTTGGGTACAAAATATTTGATGAATACTGAAGTTGACAGAAGCGTTATCTTTGCTCAAACCTATACAAGTCAGAGTGCATGGTCTGAAAGAAATGCGAACATTAGTGACTTTTAGTGTAATCGCAGAAGGTTATTGTTATTGTCATTAGACTATATATGACAGGACTAACCATTTCTAACCACAGGTCCTGGTAGTCTTGTACCAGCCCTACTACTATTGTAGCTGGCATAATTGAACTGACACCAAAATTGTAATAAGTCAAAGGGAATTTACAACATTTAGATGTGTTCAAGAATATAAGTACATGTGTTCCTACAGATTTACTTGAACTATGTTAAGATCAGGTAAACACATGTTAGCATCAACACTCAAGATTGAAGTTTGCTGCTTATCATGCTAATCAAGTACTTTGGATAAGAAATTATTTTTGTTAACTTATCAAGTACATAAACTTGGATATCTGAGGTTAAGGATATGTTTTTTCATTTATGCGGAACTTTGTATAAGAAATAATCCATATTTAATCAGATAAACTCGCAATTAGATCAAGGGGTTAATAAAAAAGTCTAACACTTTTTCATGTTCCTTGTGGTTTTTAGTATTAATTTGAATGCATGGCTTCACACCTACATGTGATCAGCCCATTTAAATGTATGCATGTGTACTTTCTAGTTTCTTCAGATTTCATCAGATTTATTAAGTAAGTTTGAAACATTAAACATCTAGCCATCATCATATCACTTCAATGGATTATTTAGGATGTCAGAAGGCCAGACTGACGGTGTGTGACGAAAAACCTTTGAGACTATTAGCCTGAACACTGACTCTTAGCATCATTTTCAGTAGATTGTTGTGCTATTATCTGGACTATTACAAGACAGAGCATACTTTGACGAGACTTGAACTTAGGACATGTGGCCATTTTGCAGATTGGACAGAGCACTCCTTAGATTAGAAGGGTGGTCCTAATCATGCTTATTAGCACTGAGGTGCTGACTTCGAGGCTGAGTGAGTACAGTAGCACTACAGCTCCTTGTTATCACGGTTATCTCCCAAAACCCCTACATCCCATTTCCCCTACAACCCAGTTTCCCTACAATTAGTTAAAAAAACACGCGGCATTTACCTGTCTGGCATTATGAACTCACCTAAAGGAGAGATTAAGGTCTGGAGTAGAGGTAGTAGAAATGAAAGGGATAGAGCTTTAGGGGATTAGGGGACTTAAAGGAAAGTTAAAAAAAATAAAATTTATGTAAGTGTAATGAAAGATGCCTGTATGATGAGAAGACAATTTTTAGAAATTACAAAAAACAATAGGAAGAAACAATTATTACATTGAGAAACTGAGATGAGACGATTTACAGTTGAGATGAAAAATGAACATTTTGTTATAATGTATTATGAATTTTGAAAAATGAACCTTTTATTATAATGTATTATGAATTTTGAATAATATCGTAATCGTAATTAAATATTTATCTCAATCTATTCGAGTTTCTTGGGTTGTTCCATTGTATGAAATAGGTAACAGACTAGGGATTAGCAGTGCCATGGACCGTGAACTTTGTTGTCTTAAGCTGTAGGGGAAATGGGATGTAGGGGTTTTGGGAGGTTACCGTTATCACAGATGATGAGAAGGTTATGTAAGAATGCTAACGAGACTGATGCACAGGTGTGATGTATATTGTTAGTGGTAGGAGTACTACTGTCAGTGGTAAAAGTCTGTGTTTATGATTAATTGTGTTTTGCTGAAGCATTAGAACCATGCCTTGCTTTCATTATGGAGTTTGAGTGTGTGGCTTTGTGGGAATGTTTTTGATTGTTTTATTCCCTTTTGCATTAATCATGATGAATACCTATTACTGACATTGTCTTGTTTAGTTCAGCCTTATCTTTTTCTTTTGATTCAACTTCAACTTCGGTGAATTACCCGTTTAAGTCCATTTTGACCAAGTTTTTGACAGTGTAACATGCCGTAAAAACCTTTGACCAAGTTTTTGACGGAACTTTGATGCAATAGAAACCGATCCTATTTCTCGTCAAACTTTGCTCAAAGTTTGATAACGTTGATTTAATTTAGCCAATCAGACTCCAAAGAACATTTACCCCTTTTCAACCGGAAGTGCATCAAGTGAAGTCAAAATGAGTCAACTATTTTGGACTGACGAGATGTTGGAAGAATTAATTGACTTGTTTCAACAACGAGCAGCCATTCTCAGGACCAAATATGCCTTTGCCTACCCCGACACCGTGTTCTCAACATGGCAATACACAAACTACATATGACAATAGCAAACAATTCTTCGTCAGTAGCATCCACCCTGGCAAGATAATGTGACAGATGCAACAAAGTAAAGTTTTCTTTGACCAAGTTTTTGATAGTGTAACAGGGCTTTAATGAATATCACATTTAATTGATAATTGTTTGAACACAACTTTGCCTTGCTTCTAAAACTATTATTTGTTGTTAAATTGATAATAAGTCTTTGTATACAGTGAAATTAAAATACATATATTTTTTAATTATTGACCATGATAAATGTCAGGGGTGTAATCAATAGTACTACTGTATGAAGTGTAGTTGCATGGTGTGGCATAAATTGAACATTTGAAACAGCTATAATGTGATCTGATTGGAACTAAATAACGACCAATGGGACTATTTGATCAAATTCTCTTTAAGGAATGACCAGTAGAAACTTGGTGATGGATGTTGATGACTGGGTATGGTACCAGGCTGCTTCACACATTGTATGTATGTTGGGAACTAAACCCAGACCTTCAGTGTGAAGAGCAAACGGGTTATCCGCTACACCGCTGTCTGTACTGAGTATGATATGGCCTGGGGCCTGATCCACAAAGTGATCGCTGGCTACGACTGTTGTAAGTCCATGTTAAAGTATAGGATTTACGATCGTCTTTGTGCTACGATTGCTTTGTGAAACAGGGCCCTGGTCAAGGGGGTATTACAACTGACTGTCGGAGGGAGTGTTTCTTTTTTTTTCTTTTATTTCTTTAGTAGGTTACCAAGCTATGATAACAAACTTTATTTTCAAGTACTATGTCATCCCTTTTGGCCACATTCTCTGCAACTTGAAGTACGAAGAGAGACAGGTCCGAGGTCACAGTTACCTTGGGAATCCAACTATGAATGGCATTGTGTTGGAATTTTGTGCAAAAACATTTTTTGTTGTTGTAAAGTTGTTCCTTAATTGCTTAAAAATAACAAACATAGAAGGGTGTGATTAAGTTTAGGGTCAGATGGATCATGAGAAATGAGAAATCTGTTTTAACAAGCCTAAAGCAGTGATCGATGTGGAGATTCCTGCCAATTGTCAACACTGCATTACCCAAGCAATTCCAGCAGTAATGAAATTACCCACCCGATGTGTCAGCCCCTGGATATTTCATTTGGGTAATCAGAGTAAAAATGCCCTGAAGACATATGCCACACCATGTTCATGACAATGATAGCTCACTTATTTAGCTTTAAACTCAATACCCATGGGCAGCGACATAGGATCTTGTTCTGCCTGTTGTGCATGCTTCATTTCTATCTCAGTGGAGTTGATTGGTGTGCACTTAATCTGCAGGGGCACAATTCTACTGAATGTAATAACTATGTTTACTACTGCAGTGAACAGTGATTGCTTGAACTGATCCCGCAATTCATTAAATTAAATATATTGCTTACTGGAGGTAATCAATAAAAAAAACATATAGCTAGGGAATGAGAATGGATCTGTTCAAGGCTTTTTACAAATAAGGCTGACATGCACCAAGTGTATCTTCAGATGAAAAGCTTATGAACCAGACAAGAAACTGGTTGCACCCATAGCTGCTTACGGGGTTGGAAATGTTGCTGTGTAGTTATTATCAGAAGGTCAACTGTTTGTTGGAATGGTTGAAAAATTACTTAAATTGATTGATTTCTGTTATTCAGGGAAGAAATTATTATTATTATTATTATTATTATTATTATTATTATTATTATTATTATTATTAAAATGATGATGATTATTATAATGATGATGATGACAATAACAATAATGATGATGATGAAATAATAACAATAACAATAATGATGATGATGATGATGATGATGAAATAATAACAATAACAATAATGATGATGATGATGATGATGATGATGAAATAATAACAATAACAATAATGATGATGATGATGATGATGAAATAATAACAATAATGATGATGATGATGATGATGATGAAATAATAACAATAACAATAATGATGATGATGATGATGATGAAATAATAACAATAACAATAATGATGATGATGATGATGATGATGATGATGATGATGATGATGATGAAATAATAACAATAACAATAATGATGATGATGATGATGATGATGATGATGATGAAATAATAACAATAACAATAATGATGATGATGAT